AATCCCACGTCTTTTATCACCTTAAAAAAACAATCCTGGGAGAAAGAAAAAAAAATCTTAATTCTGCCCGCAGGAGTTACACACCCTTCCCAATGTTGAATCCAAAACACTCACTTTATTCAATTTGTATCTCTTGCTCCAGAAACCCCCAAGCATTAAATGTGATACTTAGTGGCCAAAATGTTCTTTCCTGTTTTATTTACCAAGCATTAAATGTGATACTTTGTGGCCAAAATGTTCTTTCCTGTTTTATTTACATCTTGGTTTTCCTGCAAACCTAATAATAGTACTTCTGTTAAGGCAGTTCACAACCTTGTTAATGCCGCGACCCCCCAACCGGTCGTAAGTCGAGGACTACTCAACCGGTCGTAAGTCGAGGACTACTCAACTGGTGCGGCACCGTTTGCAGAATGGGACTTTTGGCGGGCTCAGCAGGGCAGAGACAGCCTGGACAATTCCTATGGGCTTTGGAAAGCCAATAGAATTAGACTCTATTCAAGAGAATCTATTCTATTGGCTTTCAAAAGCCAATAGAATAAAAGGGAGTAGCACAGCTAAGGAAAAGGGGGAAAAAATGGCGGACTGCGTTGTTTGGCGATGCCCGTGAAATGGTTGTTCGACCCCAAATGGGGTCCCGATCCACAGGTTGAGAACCACTGTTAAGGTCTGCTTTTTTTTTTTTTTTACTCTTTTATGGACTACTCTGTAAAGAAAAATATATTAATACAAGAAGAAACACTGAAAAGATATTTGTGTGTGTGTGCGTGTATAACAGATAAATAAACCAGAGATTTAAAATACGAAGACAGCTTTCTAGATTATTTTGTTATACTGAATACTTAAATATTGTTAATTCATTAGAAATACTGATTAAAATTCTGGGAGGAGGTTTCATGGTATCCATAGCAGAACATCCAGATTCAACCATAGTTTCATTCCATACAGCATTAACCTTGTGAACTCTCAAGCTTCCTCCTTCCGTTATATATTCAAGACGGATAGTATTTAATGTTTCTTTGCTACATACTGTATATGTAGGGGTGTGGGTCTATACATATGTTGTACATAGTATGTTTTAGGTGTGCGTCATGTATGTGTTTCACTTTGAGAGCGGGCAACTAAATTTCATTTTTGATGTGTGCCGTTGTCCGTAAAAAAATGACAATAAAGATTATCTTAATTATTAGTGCATATAACTTTGTGCTATGACGCTAAGCATAAGCTAAAAATGAAGGACTGCAGCAAATGAACTAGAAATCAAATGAAATCCAACTATTCTGATTTAGATATTTCACAAAAGTGGAAATGCAGATTCCACGCACTGAAAAGGGCTATATATAGCTGTCCCAGGTGAAATCTCATTTCAGAAAAGGATTTTTCCTCATCTGAAAAAGAGGTATACAATTTCAGATTCCAATCTCCTGCAGCTATTAGGGATGCTACCTAATTAAGCTTAATTGGAGTTAGTGAAGCAGCAAAAGATTACTTTCCAGCTTTAATGTTCAGCTCAGACCATTTCTCCTTTATGGTATGTTCCCCCGTCCTGCTTGATGAAAATTGCTAGTAATTTAGATTGGTTATATATTTCTACAGTGCAAAAAGAAACCACAGTATGTTCATAATCAGAATGTAAATCGGTTCCTTTTTTAGAAAACCCACTTGGGTAAGATTGATAGGCTGAGCGAGCAGTATGTATGTATGTGTGATGTTCTGGACAATCAGGTCAATGAAACAATAACAGGAGAACAATTGAAAGGGACCTTGGAGGTCTTCCAGTCCAGGGCTTTTCAACCTTTTCACCCATTGTACCACTTTTAGGATATGGCAACATCAGTCGCCTAGCAAGGTGTCAAAAATTTGATGACCAAAAAAAAAAGGGGGGGGGAGTGATAAAGTACAAGCAGTCCTCGACTTACAACAGTTCGCTCAGTGACTGTTCGAAGTTACAAAGGCACTGAAAAAAGTGCCCCCTAAGCCACAGCCGAGCAAGACAGCGCCCAGTGGCGCTCTTCCTCCTGTCCGAGGTTTTCATTGTTGTGAGCATTTCTGTTGAGGATTGGCAGCGGGGGTGGGGTGGGGGAGTGTTTGGTTTTTATTCCCCCCCATCTGCTGGGTGATTGCAGCAGGTTTTGGTCACTTCACATAACCCTGGGACACTGTGACCGTCATAAATATGAGTCAGTTGCCAAGCATCTGAATGTAAATCACAAGACCCTGGAGAGGCTGCAACATTCCAGCTGATCGGCGCTTTTTCTGGGCTCAGCAGAAGTACCAGGATCAGTGCTGCTTTCCAACTGATTGGTGCTCCTTCAGGGCTCAGCAGAAGCACCAGGATAAGCGCCGAGCTCCAGCTGGAGCCTGGCGCCGATCCTGGCGCTTCCATTGAGCCCTGACAGCCCCGAAGAAGCTCCGATCAGCTGGAAAGCAGCACTGATCCTGGCGCTTCTGCTGAGCCCTGACAGCCCTGCAGCTCCAGCCATCTCTCGCTCAGGCTTATGCGGTGCTGCCACCAGTTCAGCTCATTCCTCTCCCCCGCTACCACTTTTCTAGGATGGTCGCGTACCACCTGCCAGGTGCCAATGTACCACAGGTGGTACCTGTACCACTGCTTGAAAAGCCCTGTTCTAGTCCAACCCCCTGCTCAAGCAGGAGACTCTGTACCAGGGGTGTCAAACTGCCGGCCTATGGGTCAGTTTCATCATATACCGGAGCCGCGTCCACCCCATTGCCGGCAATGGCAAAAAACCTCCGATACATCACGCAACGTCACATGATGACGCGAGTTTGACATGCCTGCTCTACACCATTCCGGACAAATGGCTGTCCAATCTCGTCAAATCCTTTGCTGAAATCAAGTCGATATTAGGACTATTGCACTCCCACTATTAAGAAAGCTATCCTTTAAAAAAAAGTAAAATAAGATGACAGAGACAAATTTATGCTGATTTCTTGTAATTACTTTGGATGTAAGTTGAGAACTATACTGTGCCTTGCAACAGGATGTTATTTATCCCTGCTCTGAAATTCACTTTTTAGAAGTCTTATGGGATTGAGAATGCAGAGTTTCATTTTTCCTTTGCAGAACGCTAAACAGAAGCTGATTACTACAGCACCAGGTCTAAAAAAATGCAAAGCAGAAATAAAAGGACCTTATGAAGCTTTAATGTGGGGTCTAATTCATCATGGTTTACCCAGTATTCATTGAAGCCCAGAATAAATAAATTCCATCCCCTCTCTCAATATATAGTGCAAAACACTATAGGACAGTTTATTGAGTTTACAGGTAGTCCTTGACAAGATAGATAGATAGATAGATAGATAGATAGATAGATAGATAGATAGATAGATAGATAGACAGACAGACAGACAGACAGACATAGATACAGAGATAAAGATAGAGATTATAGATAGATAATAGAGAGATAAATGATAGATATAAATATAGATGATATAGAGATAGATAAATGACAGATAGGTAGACAGACAGACAGACAGACGGACCTTTATTGTTATTTTTTTACTGTGGGCACAACGGCACACATTAAAAATGAAATTTATTTGCTTGCTCTCAAAGTGCACACATATATAACACACATTTAAACATTCTATACAGAATATATGTACATAGACCTACAGCCTTACATATAAGCAACATATATCAATCACTGTCCATCTTGAATACATAACCGAAGGACGCCGCTAAAAGAAATGACTTACAACCATTTTTCACACTTACGACCGTTGCAACAGTCCCCGTGGTCACGTGATCAAAATTGAGACCCATAAAAGGGTAGTTTACCTTTCATTTAGTGACCATCTGAAGTTGCAATGGCACTGAAAGAAATGACTTATGACCTTTTTTCACACTTACGACCATCCCCCACGGTCACGTGATCGAAACTGAGGTGCTTGTCCACTGACTCATATTTATGACAGTCGCAGCATCATCCCAGGGTCACGTGATCCCTATTGACGACCTTCTTACAAGTTCATGGGGAAGCCAGATTTGCTTAACAACCGTGTCGCTAACTTAACAACTGTGGCAAAAAGGTCATAAAATGGACCAAAATTCACTCATGCAATGTCTCACTGAGCAACGGAAAATTTTGGGTCCAACTCTGGTCGTAAATCGAGGACTACCCGTATAGGGTAAGTTTACCTTTCATTTAGTGACTATTTGAAGTTTCAAGGCCAACTGAAGAGAGAGACTTATGACCGTTTTTCACACTTACGACCATTGCAGTCACGTGATCGAAACTGAGACGCAGCTGACTTGCACTTATGACGGTCGCGGCGTCCTTGGGGAGGGGGCATCACTTGATCCCCTTTTGTGCGACCTTTTGACGAGCCAAGCCAAGGGGGGAAGGGAAGGTTCATTTAAGCCACCACCGGGTTACTAGCTTCACAATTGCAGCGATCCGCTTAACAACGGCAGGAAAGAGAAAGGTCGCAAGACGGGGCAGAATGGACTTCGCCACTGTCTCGCTTAGCGACGGAAATTTCGGCCTCCATTGCGGTCGCATGTTGAGGACCGCCCCCTCCCCCCCGCATTTTAGCGGGCTTCCCCCCCCCAACCCCGTGCAAAAGGTGATCCAGCAATGCTTGATATCAGCACTGGACCCAAGCCCCCCCCCTCCCCAAGGCCCACTGCTCCTGACCATGGAGGCTCCATTGAGCCCAACTCTCCTCCTGGGGACCCGCTTCCTCCCCCGCCGGCCACCCTTACCGCGTCTCGTGGCGGGGAGTTCCGCAGGTTAACCGTCTGCCCCCTCCCCACCCACCCCAAATCACTGGAGATTCTTCAGAAGAGACTACTAGACGATCCCCCGTCTGAGATGGCGCAGGGTGGACTAGACGACCTCCAAGGTCCCTTTCCAGCTCTTATTCTATTCTCTTCTCTCCTGGCTGGGAAGAGCGGAAGGGAAGCCTCCCCGGCCTCTTCTCCCGCCGAAAGGCCACCTTCCCCCGGGCAAGGACCCCCCCCGGCCCCCGAGGCTCACCTTGACCAGCCACATCCCCGTGTTCTGCTTAGCGCCCGTCAGATCCAGCTCCCCCTTCTCGCTCATGGCGGCGGCGGCGGCGCCGGACTCTTCCTATCCGCCCGGAGTCGCGGCAGCCACCCGGACCGCAATCGGCGACGGACCGGCGGCGACGGATCCTCGCCGGGGCCAAAACAAAAAAAAAACAACGAAAACGCTTCACGCCCGAGCGCGTAGCCGTTCCGTGCGCCCAGGCGGCGTTCGATGGGGGGCGTGGCTACGAGGAGGGCCGGACTAGAAGGAGGGGGAGGGGCCGGGGTGGGCGTGGCAGAAGGGGCGGGGACGGAACTTTTCTGCCAAGAGTTTATCTTTCCATTTGAATAAATAAATTGACAAGTCCTTAAATTAAAAGTGCTGGAGCAGGCAGGTTCGCGTTAGTCCCGTCTAGGGTGAACGTGTTCGTGTTCGTGTGTGTGTGTGTGTGTGTGTGTGTTGCTTCCCTTTAACAGAATTTATTTATATTATATTTATTTATACAGTGATTAATACTTATATATTACTTGTATGTAAGGGTGTTGGTCTATACATATGTTGCATATAGTATGTTTAAATGTGTGTTATGTTCGTGTACACTTTGAGAGCAAGCAACTAAATTTCATTTTTAATGTGTGCCATTGTGCTCACAGTAAAAAATGACAATAAAGGTTTATCTATCTATCTATATCTATCTATCTATCACTATCATCTATCTGTCACTGTCCTATCTATCATCTATATCTATCATCTATATCATCACTATCCTATTTATCATCTATATCTATCTATATCATCACTATCCTATCTATCTGTCACTATCCTATCTATCATATCTATCATCTATATCATCACTATCCTATTTATCATCTATATCTATCTATCTATCTATCTATCTATCTATCTATCTATCTATCTATCTGTCACTATCCTATCTATCCTATCTATCTATCATCTATATCATCACTATCCTATTTATCATCTATATCTATCTATCTATCTATCTATCTGTCACTATCCTATCTATCATCTATATCTATCATCTATATCATCACTATCCTATTTATCATCTATATCTATCTATCTATCTATCTATCTATCTATCTATCTATCTATCTGTCACTATCCTATCTATCCTATCTATCTATCATCTATATCATCACTATCCTATTTATCATCTATATCTATCTATCTATCTATCTATCTGTCACTATCCTATCTATCATCTATATCTATCATCTATATCATCACTATCATCTATCTATCTATCTATCTTGTTTGGCTAATTTTGCTCAGTTGATCTAATAGAACATTTTCTTTAATTAAAATACATTAATCAAACGTATTCAACAATTAATCTGTTGTTTTATTCCATTGCAGGCCACCCACAGTTTCCATCTGTTGCTTCTTGTCCTGCCTTCAGGCGCTTTGGAGAATAGCTTGACTCCCTCTTCTTTGGAGCAGCCCCTGAGATATTGAAAGGCTGCTATCATGTCACCCCTCATTAAACTAGACATTCCCAATTCCAGCAACTGTTCCTTATACAGTATGTTTTAGCATCCAGTCCCCTGATCATCTTTGTTGCTGTTCTCTTTAAGATTCCCCCCCCCCATTTCTCATTCAGGGGAAACATTCTCTCCTGCCTCTTTTAATATTCCCCAAAATATTTCATTCTCGTGTGTGTGTGTGTGTGTGTGTGTGTGTGTGTGTGTGTGAGGGGGGTGTGCTGACTTCCTACGTTACTCAACTGTGCATACCAAATAGATAAATATTGATCTTTCCAAGAACCTCTGACAAGCAAAGTCGATAGGGAAGCCAGACCCATCTAACAATTTCATGATTCAATTAACAATGGCAGTGATCAGCTTAACAATTATTGTAAAAAAAAATATTATAAAATCAAGCCTGACTTACTTAAGAACCCGCTTTCTTGAGCAACAGAAATTCTATCTGTATCTGTCTACAAAATCAGCATTGTCTTCCATTGATTCTCTCTGGAAGCAACACAGCAGAAGAATTGAACTAAACTTCAAGGAGTAGGAAAATTACTGACCATATGGAAATGTAATCACAATCCATAGGAAACCCTATACAAGGAATCCTTCCAGAATATTGTTTCCTGCAGAAATCCCTAAGAATTCAAGGACTTGCTAAATTAAATGGGTTTAAGATTAGGGAAAAAAAGTCTAGTCTACTCCCTTCTCATTATAACATAAGGAACGGTTGCTGGAATTGAGTAGGTCTACTTTAATGAAGAGAAGGACGAGGGGGGACATGATAGCAGCCTTTCAATATCTCAGGGGCTGCCCCAAAGAAGAGAGAGTCAAGCTGTTCTCCAAAGCCCCTGAAGGCAGGACAAGAAGCAACGGATGGAAACTCATCAAGGAGAGAAGCAACCTAGAACTAAGGAGGAATTTCCTGACAGTTAGAACAATTAACCAGTGGAACAACCTGCCTCCAGAAGCAGTGAATGCGCCAACACTGGAGGTTTTTAAGAAGAGACTGGACAGCCATTTGTCTGAAATGGTATAGGGTTTCCTGCCTGAGCAGGGGGTTGATTGGACTAGATGACCTCCAACATCCCTTCCAACATTATTATTATTATTATTATTATTATTATTATTTATTCAAAAGTGTTTTAAACAACCATTATCCTCTTGAGTTGCTAGCAAATAATCAACTTGCTAACAGGAAAGCTGTGTTGGTCCTGTATTAGGATTTGGCATCACATTTTCAGATTAACCCATTTTATCGAAAGGCATTGCGTACGCCTTTTAACAACTTTGTTCATCCCAAGAAGTTGCTACAAGATTTCTGATGTTTAGCAAATAATAATAAGAAACTTCTGGATCCAGCTAGTTCTTTCTCTCTCTCTCTTCTCTTGCACTTTGGGGTCCTAAAGGTGGTTTTTTTTTTTTTTTCAAGAGGCAACTGGACTTTCTTGTTTTTCTTTGAAGACGTTTCGCTTCTCATCCAAGAAGCTTCTTCAGTTCTGACTGGATGGTGGGGAAGGGAAGGATTCATTCAGAGCTGAAGAAGCTTCTTGGATGAGAAGCAAAACGTCTTCAGAGAAAAACAAGAAAATCCAAATTGCCTCTTGAAAAAACACCTTTGGGACAGCCATGATCTGGATGCCTGAGAATCTCCATAGACACTTGGAGGCTGTGCACAATTAAGCAAATTGTAAACTAGCTCAACCATTAGGATTTAAACAACACACACACACACACACACACACACACACTCAAATGGACTAAGGTTAAAAGTTAACCTTGCTCATCCTGCAAAAGTCAAGATTGTTAGCTGTCTGGGTTAACCATGTTGTAGAAATCTGACTAGCTTTATTGCCAAAGGGAGGAGAAATGATTTGGCATTTATTACCCAGTGCTTTGAAGCAGGCTTTTGAGGGGCCTGGACGTCTAATAGAAATCTCACTGTTGGGAGCGTAAAATATTGCTTTTGCGACCCGCGGCTAGCACAACTCGCTTCAGCCGTTCTGCTTTCTGCCATGCTGATTTTTTTTCTTTTTCAAAAACATCTTTAATTGCTTGCCATTGATTCGAGCAGCACCTGACCCCTGCAATTGGATGCATTAATAGCTCTCCAGATGCTTTCTGCTAGCAAGAATTCCATCCGCCCGGATGGTTGCCAGGGAAACCGTGCGCTTGTCTCCTACAGCCTGACATCAGCTTTTGGCAGCCTTGACTGTTTGTTCCCTCTGGGCTGACTGACATTCCAGCCGAGGCTTCAGTACTTTGGAAAGAGTTGAATTCTGTGATTTGTGCTCGGTATGTTAGTCGGGAAACAAGGACACGACAACGGAAAAGCAGTGTTTCCTCCAGGGCTTTGCTTGTTTCCCGTGACATTTCGACTCCAATGTTCTTCCTTCCCGTTGATAAACGGTTCAGTGTGACAACAGCACGAAACCAAAAAGGGACTTATCACCGTTTTTTCATACTTCATGACTTTTGCAGCGCCCCCAGGATCGTGGGCTCAAAATTCAAGTGTACTTTACGTGACAGGATATCGTCTCATTGAAGATATGTAGACCAGTCACAATCTATCCACTTATAAGCACCTTTGTGTCTCGTGGATTTGAATGGAAAATATTATAAAGTTTGGGGTGACATATGTCATCAGCTGCCTTGGGAGGTGTTTCAATTTACAAGCAACTAATTTATAGCCAAGCTCTTTTCTGGAGTTTTCACTGCCACCTGTCTCTATCAGCCAGATTCTCCTAGCCCAGTGGTTCTCAACCTTTTTAATGCCGCGACCCCCAACCAGTCGTAAGTCGAGGACTACTCAACCGGTCGTAAGTCGAGGACTACTCAACTGGTGCAGCACCGTTTGCAGAATGGGACTTTTGGCGGGCTCAGCAGGGCAGAGACAGCCTGGACAATTCCTATTGGCTTTTGAAAGCCAATAGAATTAGACTCTATTCAAGAGAGTCTATTCTATTGGCTTTCAAAAGCCAATAGAATAAAAGGGAGTAGCACAGCTAAGGAAAAGGGGGGAAAAAATGGCAGACTGCGTTGTTTGGCAACCCCCGTGAAATGGTCGTTCGACCCCAAATGGGGTCCCGACCCACAGGTGGAGAACCACTGGCCTAACCAGAGCAGAACAGCCAATCTCCTTTATTTCTTAAATTTTGGTATCAGTGGTGGAAAGTAACACAGCACAGGGAGTATCTGGTCAAATTCTGTCTGTTCTTTGTAAAATCCCATGGGTTTTCACTTATTTTTCGTATCTCAGTTTGAATTTGCAAATATGGCCACTGTGATAGATCAATACCTTGCTCTTCTAAATCTTGTCTACACTTCAATTTCCCTTCATTGTCCAGAATATCTTCATAGGTCGCTGCTTTCTCGTAAATGATCAAGCTTGGGTAAGCAAACGCTTCCGTTATGGAAAGCCATGCAGGTGTTTTAATATACATTTTGGCTTTTATTTTTTCCCATTCTAAGAAAAGTACATTTCCTACACAATGATTTTGAAAATATCTATGTATTTTATTCTTCCCATACCATGGAAAGGCATGCCAGCCAGGTTGTAGGTCGAGCCCCTCTACGTATAGTAATCTTTTGTCTCTTAAGTGTTATCCGCTCTTTCATCCATGTTAATAAAGTTGCTTGGTAGTATAGCATCCAGTCTGGTAATCCAAATCCTCCATTTTCTTCACTTCTTGCAGCATTTTCAGTCTAATTCAGTCTAGCACTACCTGTATTATGGAGGTGTATTATGGAGAGGGAGATTATCCTTACACTACTTCTGTTTCCCACAGAATGACTATTCAATGCATCAAGCCAGAATTTAGAAGCAAGATTTATAAATTAGATAACCAATTCAGTGCTCAAAGCATGAGTCAGATTGACCCTCGCATGTATCCCAGCAAGGAGAAAATTAACACGCTTAGATAATGAAAACTTGATCTAGTTTTGCTCCATTCCTCCTCCTCCTCTACCTACTACCAAGAGAAAATTGGAGAAAAGATGCGACACGGTTTTCTCTTTACCTCTTTGGACTTGAGGGTTTGATCCAAGCGGACCCAACTTTCTGGGGACAAGGAATTAAGAACCAGGAAGAGGAGATTTCTGTTGCTAAAAATTGGGAGAATGGCAGGATGTAGAAAGGGAAGGCACAAATACACAGTGGCTGAGTTCAGCTGTTGTCCAGACCAGTGTTTCTCAACCTTGCCCACTTGGAGGTGTGTACTTTAATTCCCAGAATTCCCTACTCAGGCTGGCTGGAGAATTCTGGGAGGGGCCTCCAGGTGGCCAAAGTTGAGATACACTGGTCTAAACCAGGGGTCTTCAAACTTGGCCCTTTTATGACTTGCGATGCTGGCCGAGGAATTCTGGGAGTTGAAATCCACAAGTCATAAAAGGGCCAAGTTTGAAGGCCCCTGGTTTAAACCAGTGTGTCTCAATTTTGGCCACTTGGAAGAGGTGTGGCCTTCCACTCCCAGAATTCCTCAGCCAGCTGGCTGGGGAATGCTGGGAGTGGAAGCCCACCTATCTTCATCCACTCCACTAAAAATCCAGGAAGCCTCTTTGGTGTCTTTAGACACCCATTGAAAACTCAACTTCAGGCGAGCTTCACGTCCACCTGGCTGTAAATCTAAATTCAAATCATACGTGACTCTTATTTGAAATTTAGCTGAATGGCAAAAATAACAACGGACACAAGACTTGAGATCTTTATTGTAGACAAGCATGAAGCCATACACAGATTTGGCAGGACGGTTCAGCCAAGATAACAGCCGATACAGGACTAAGTTCCAGGGGTTAAAATCCACGTATATTGTGTCTACTTTTCCTAGTCCCCGGCTATTTGGCTACTATCATCAAAGCCGATGGATCAATTTTTGCTACTTCATCCATTCTCTCTTTTCACCTAGGACTTCCTGCTAAGGATATGGGAGGAATACCTGCCCATTCCGTCTGTTCCCCTTTTTAATTAATTATGCTTGGGGTTTAATGTTTTACTTCATTTAATATATTATTTATTACGGATGCCGGTGCAGTTTTCATTGTAAGCTGCTTCAAGACGATCTGCAACAGGGTATGCTTTTAGAAATAAATTAAATAATAAATCTATTCCACCAGAGATTTCAGAGGAATCTTAGGAGCCGAAACCTTTTTTAATGAATCGCAATTCAGTTTATCGACGGCTCCTGTCCATCAATTTGGAAAAAGCAGCAGAGAGAGAATGGGGCAGGAAAAAAAGACGGTTTGGGACAATTTTAATGGAGATGGTTATGCTTTATTCATCGCCGCGTCAAATGCACGGGTAAAGTTAAATCATCTTTCCGGCGGTGATAATTACGATCGGATCCCAAGCTGTTTGCAGCAGCCATCCGATTTTCTCTCTCTCCCCTCCTCGACTCTAAAGGCCAAGTTACACGCCTAGCATTCTGATATTTGAAATCCCAAAATGATCCAAGCTGAAGAAATGCACACACCTATGGGTTATTTGAAACTTAAATATTTCAAATGGGCTTCTTCGTTTTCAGAAAAATGTAAAAGAAATCTCCCCAGGAAAGGGTGACCACTCAGCCTTTCGCCATTCTTGGGGAAGGAAACTATGCCGTGAAAATCACCAGAAGTATGGCAATTATTATTTCTCTGTTTGTGCAGAAGTCCTTTGGGGGGCAAATTCTACTGCTAGGTTCTCCCCTGCCCTCAACAGCTGGACTCATGCAACCAAAATTCTGTCATCCGTGCAACAATTTGGCTCCCGTTTAAAGGAACATTATTTTTCACGTGCGTGTTGTGTGGACACAGAAAATGTTTTTATTGAGCACGCTTGCTATTTCGGTAGGCATCCGATTATAAAAATGTATTGCATTTGCCGTGGGAAAACCTGGTGTTCAAGTCTCTGGACTGTTTTATGATGGCTTTCTTTCGGGCTTCGTCAATCTGATGGACTTGGAGGTCGTGATCACGGTCAAAGGGTCTTCTCTCCTGGGGTTTGTTCTTCTCCCCAGCAGTTTTACTCTTCAGCTTCTTCCGGTGGATGTCCAGCAGAGATTCAGATCGCTCAGTGTCCTGGAATTTAAAAACATTTGCCAATAAAGGGGGAAACGATACAAGAATTAGAAAACTGGACGACAGATGCAGCGGGACAGAAAGCTGTAAATCCAATATTCTTAAAAGTCCTTTGAACTCAGTGACGTTACCTTTGCTCCTCACCTGAGGAAAAGTGAACGAAATTAAGACTAGCCTCAAAAGAAAATAAAGTTGCTTACATATTTATGTCTTTAATAATTTTGAATATTGGAATCCCAGGAATGGACATTTAAAGTCAATCAGATAAAAATAAAGAGCTCTGGGATGTAAGATAAAAGGCTTTTTTTTATTAATTGCTGAGCTTTCGTTAACAACCTGTTAACATCATCAGAGCAAAGGGCTAAATGAGAAGGGGGAGTATGTACATAAATTTACATAACAGTTGAAAAAAAAAAGGTTGCAGTGAGGCATGTGCACATAACGTGCTTAAGAAGCTCTTAAAGGCATATATTTTAAAATAGTCTTGAGACTGACTGCTCTATGCCTTTAAGAGCTTCTTAAGCACGTTATGTGCACATGCCTCACTGCAACCTTTTTTTTTCAACTGTTATGTAAATTTATGCACATACTCCCCCTTCTCATTTAGCCCTTTGCTCTGATGATGTTAACAGGTTAACGAAAGCTCAGCAATTAATAAAAAAGCCTTTTATCTTACATCCCAGAGCTCTTTATTTTTATCTGATCGACTTTAAATTACATATATATCTGTGACAAGGGGAAAATAAGCCCCAAGAGCAGATAAAACCACTTATTATACCTCTTCTCTGTGCTTCTATAAGATCTCAAGACAATTTGCTGGGAATCCCATATTGAAATAATCAATTTTTTAAATGATGGTCAAAGAACAGCAAGCAGAAAGGGTATAAAAGGTTGAGACTGGACCTGATTGATTTGCCATTGGCCTATAACTGTCCTTTTGGATTCTGCTACGCCATATGGTCCTCATTGCAATGGGTTATTAATGTAAGTGATGTTGGGTTATTATGCTTGCTATGTTGCAAATCATTAGCAAAATAAACCTCTGAATCTTAAAGTAAGAATTATTATGTTGTGTTGCTGTCTCTTGTCTTTTTCACTGGGTTTTTCCACGACAGCTCATAAATGTCTTGTGAAGTTTCCAAAAGAAGTTTCTTTAGAGTTGTGACTGAAGACAAAGTCCAATGCATTGACCACTCAAGTGGCCAGCTCATCAAATGAAACTTCCTTTCCTGTTGGCAAGTGTTCCCATTATATTTAAGGAACATCCTGAACTAACTTCCCCCCCAAAAGCGAGCATCTTCCAAATATGCGGATTTCAGCTCTCAGACCCCCCCCCCCCGCCAGCACAGCCCTGGCTAAAAATTCAGCTCCGGAGCTGCCATCTTGGAGGAGAATGCTCACCCCCCAAAACAAACCAAGATACTGTCAATTCTCCTCGTAAAGTAAAAGTCGTGTTTGTACTTCTAGGGCAGTGGTTCTCAACCTGTGGGTTGGGACCCCATTTGGGGTCGAACGACCATTTCACGGGGGGTCGCCAAACAACGCAGTCCGCCATTTTTCCCCCCTTTTCCTTAGCTGTGCTACTCCCTTTTATTCTATTGGCTTTTGAAAGCCAATAGAAGAGACTCTCTTGAATAGAGTCTTATTCTATTGGCTTTCAAAAGCCAGTAGGAATTGTCCAGTCTGTCTCTGCCCTGCTGAGCCTGCCAAAAGTCCCCTTCTGCAAACAGTGCTACACCAGTGGAGTAGTCCTCGACTTACGACCAGTTTAGTAGTCCTCGACTTACGACTGGTTGGGGTTCGCGGCATTAAAAAGGTTGAGAACCACTGTTCTAGGGTCGTGGCTTGTGTCTCGGTAATCATTTGCTAGACTGCCTTGTATGAATATGTTTCCATAGGAACACAGAAAAAGAAATGATCGTTCAGCCTTGGTGTTTCTGAAACCAACAAGAGTTTTCTGAAAAGACAAACACAGAAACCAGCATCACCAGATTAATGGACACCTACATTGTATGAGGATAACTGCTCAGCCAGCCGTCTGTCTCTCTCGGAGAAACAACTTTCTCCGCTGTCCTTAGAGACGGGCTTTTTTGCTTCCTGCTGTTGTTCCTGAAAGAGCAGAAAAAACAACAACAAAAGAAGGGTTAGCAGGTGCACACAGAAATGCATAAGTCAAAAGAGAATCTTGGTTAATTCAGGTCTTTTTTTAGGCACCCAGATAATAAGATCTAAGGGTGATTTTGCTCCTCGTGGTAGAAAAATCGTGACTGCCCAGCCTAGGTACACATTGTTTTAGTCAGGACAAAGAAATTTTTATTTATTCTGTGCTGAGATTTTTATCTGAGAGCATAGAAATAGGGCTGACTCAAAAGGTTCCAGCTGAGATACTTCGGCTTTCTTGACCTGTCCCGGATCAACCCTCAGAAGCAGGGTGGGAGGCATGCTTTAAAATGTCCATTTCTCTCTCTTCACTCCACAGGGAACGAGAGTCTTTGCTTGCTGAAGGCTAATGAGGTCTTGTAACTTGCATTGTGTGTGTGTGGAGGGGGGCAATGTTTCTTTATACAGCCGTGCCGAGCTGCTCCGATGCAAACGGAATCCTTAAGCAGGATTTCTGCTGGCCTCTCAAAGGAGGTTTAATTGGTAAGACAATTCAGTTTTGACCTTTCAATTAATGTGAAGAGTCGCACTGACAGGATCCAGGTTTTGCTGCACGGGTCAGGGAAAAACAGCCATCTGATCAACGCGGACACATCTAATCCAAGCCGGAGCTTCAATTCAGTGGGTTTATTCAACGGAGAAATTGGGATTGAACTGGACCCCGATTTCCGAAGCGAAGCTTTGCATGGCCCCATTCAGCCCAAATCTATTTCCTTCTAGCATTCAAATACTGTGTTGTGGTTCCGGCTAACGCAACATTCCAAAGAACTTCCAGGCATTTATTTTCCTAAAAGTCTTTTATTGTTACAAGATGTCGGCACAGGCACAAGGGAGGGATGCTAGGATCCAAGTTCTCTTCCTCTGAGCAGTTAAATTATCAGCATGTTCCCTCCCTAAATTAGCCATCATATCTCACATTACTCAATTAGTGTGAAGGTCAAAGGTTTTCTTCCTCTTTCTTTCCTGGGCTTTACCCCCACCCCCCTTCTGCTCTGTATTAACCCCCATAAATACCAGACAGTTCTGCATATTGTCAAAAGCAAGAATATACAATATTTGCAGTGTTGACATACTGGCCTTGTAATTGTCCAGAATTTCATATACTGCTCTTTCCCGCTTTTTCCCCCCCTAGCCCTGAAGTTCTTTCACCCCACGGTCAGATTTCTGCTTTGTTGAACCGAGCTAAATGAGTTTCGCTCTATAAATAGTCCTCACAACTGTTGGCTGAGTGACTGTTCGTAGTCACAGCAGCAATGAAAAGGGGGAATTGTGACTGTTTTTCACACCTGCGACCGCTGAAGCTTCCCCAGGGTCACCTGATTAAAAACTCAGGCAACTGGCATGTACTTACGGCGGTCACATGTTCTCCTTTTGCGACCTTCAGACGAGCAATCTCAACGGGGCAAGCCCGATTCACACAACCGTCTTCAGAAAGAAAGGTCGTAAAATGGAGCAAAATTCACTTAAGAACGGCCTCGCTTAGCAACGGAAATTTTGGGCTCCATTGTGGCTGTAAGCCGAGGACTATTGGCATAAGTTTTTTTTTTTTTTTAAAGTCACTAGCTCTTAAGTGGATAAAGAAACGAGGCAATGTTGAAAATGAGTCCAGGGCTGGGTTCAAGTTTGTGGACTGCGCACCTGCCTGGCCACATTCATCTCCCACGAAAGCCGTTTGAAAGTATCTGAGATTGTATAATTAGTAAACTTAAATAGATTATGTTTAATAGGTTTGTATAACCCTGTACTTGGCTCTGGGAAGTGGGGGGCAGCGGGGTGGGGGGGATGGGTTGAAGAAGGTTAAGTAGCTCAGATAAGTAGAAATAGTTTCATTGTTTATAATATTATGTTTTATTTTGGAGAGAGGAATTGCTCTGGGCATTTCTCCTGGACTGCATCCGGAGTGAGAAGATAGGAGGAAGGGGAGAAGTAAGTAGGAAGGTTGAGGAGAGGGGGGAGTGAGGAAGAAGAGGGAAAGAGGGAAGTTAGAGAAGAGGTTAGAGGGTGGATGCGGTTTGCGGGGAAATGGGTGAGCAATACCGAAAGTTATGTGTATAAATTTATTTTACTCTTTATCTGAAGTATTTTTTATGATGTAATGTAAAATTGAAAATAAAAAATTAAAAAAAAAGAAAGAAAAGAAAGTGTCTGAGAAAAGCAACGCTCAAAGCATTTGACCACTTCTGTAAAAGCAGACATGCTACAGCCTTCTGGATGCAAGGAAAGAGTTAGCGGATAATGGCTTCTTCTTGTCAAGTCCCCAGACCTTCGTTTCCCCTGCATGCATACATACATACATACATACATACATACATATATTCTGAGGTTTTCGCGGGTGTTTGTATGTAGGTCTTTGGTTATTCGGGTTTTCTCCCGTGTAAAATTGGAAGTGTCTTGGCGACGTTTCGACGAAGTCCCATTCGTCATCTTCAGGCTGGTGTTTTCAGCTTCGTGCTTCTAGAAGTACGAAGCCGAAAACACCAGCCTGAAGATGACGAATGGGACTTCGTCGAAACGTCGCCAAGACACTTCCAATTTTACGCAGGAGAAAACCCGAATAACCAAAGACCAACCGACCTATATACATACATACATACATATATTACTTTTGGGGCTTCATCTCCCAGAATCCCACCCCCAACATGAAGGCTGGGGAATTCTGAGAGTTGAAGTCCACAGATCTCCAAGTGGCCACGGTTGGCAAGCACTGCTGTAATAGATGCCCTGAACCCCACAATAGAGGTTATCTTTGAAGGGAGAGTTTGTTCACGGTGGGGATGAAACCTATATATGTTTACCTTGACCAGGTCTGTGCCTTCCCCCTTAATCTTCAGAAAGTTTCGGAGGCTATTTCGAAGAGTGTTTGATGACAGAGAGATAGTGTTGATGGTACTTGGAATGGGTGACATTGGATGGAAACTAACCAAGGAGAGAAGCAACCTAGAACTAAGGAGAAACTTCCTGACAGTGAGAACAATTAACCAGCGGAACAACCTGCCTCCAGAAGCGGTGAATGCTCCAACACTGGAAGTTTTTAAGAAGAGACTGGACAGCCATTGGTCCGAAATGGTATAGGGTTTCCTGCCTGAGCAGAGGGTTGGACTAGATGACCTCCAAGGTCCCTTCCAGCTCATTATTATTATTTGTTTATGGATCTTCATTTATTTGGCTTAGATTTACTAATGTTGCATTTGATTGGTTTTCTTGCTTGGGAACTGTTTAAGAATCAGGAAGACGGAGGGTCATAAAAGCATTTCTGTTGAGTAAGAAATTACAATCCAAAGAAAAGTCTGAGAAGTTCAAAGCCATGCCACTAGCGTGCATCTTAAACTTTTCAAACTTTTCTTTTGACCTTACGGCTGGATAAATAAGTGGCTCTGCCAACCCACAAATAGGAGCGAAGGATATTTTCACTGACAAAAGCCCAGGGCACTCTGCAGGTCTTACCTTAGCTTTCTTTTCTCTGTCGGCCGGAGTATCTGTCCAAATGGATCGGTCTCCGGAATCATAGTTGGCTCGCCTTTTGAACGTTCGTGGCCCGAGGCCAAAAGCTTTGAGTTCCGGAGGAAGATCGATCATCCAAGACTCTCTCTTGGTTTCTTTGGACCCATCCTTTAACAGGGAAAAAAATTGGGAAGCTTCCGTCAAGGACCGACCGGCGAATGCCTTCGTTTCTCAAACGCTGCTGCTGCTTGAGAAAAAGCAACGTGGATGAGGGAGCAAACTCACATCATCGTGTCCCAGAAGCCTCTCTTTCATTCTCCGAGCCCGATCCTCGATCTCAGCACCTGGATTGGATTCCACTGATCCCATGGCCGGCAGAGGGCCAAATGTATCTTCCTCTTCCTCGCTGCTATCGCTTGCCTTTAGCACCACACAGAATAAAGACAAAATGGAGACTTAAAAAAAAAAATAATACCAAACGTTTATGCAGCCCTTTGGCTCTAAAGCGTCACACGCATCACAGTCCTTACCAGACTACTGCAGGAGAAGATGTTCTTGCCATTTCTTAGCAGGTAAAAACATATAGCACTCCTACATGTGGTTTTATGGTTTGCATTTGCAAAAAACAGAGGGTCGTTTCAAATGGAGAAACTAGCTCTTGTTGTAAGATACGTAAGGTTCAAACACACATTCCATTGAGAGAGAGGTTCTTGAGGATGGGCTCCAGCACAGGTCCAAAACTGTTGTGATTCCTCGCCAGCCAGTGGACCTGGCAGCTGAGTCTGAGGAATCAGAGGAGGAGGAGGGGCCTGGAGTGACATCAAAGTCAGAGGAAGCTCCAAGACTTACAGTCAGACGAGGAGCCTGGCCCCTCTACTCGCGCTCAGGCTGAGACACAGCTGTGCTGGGAGTCTGAGTTGGACAGTGATGAAGAACAGCTGGGACAAATCCCGGATGCATGAATGCGCAGGCAAGCGAAGCGAGTCTGAGTTAGACAGTGATGAAGAACAGCTGGGACAAATCCCGGAGGCACGAATGTGCAGGCAAGAGAAGTGAATAGGACAGAGGGATGCAATGGCACGGCTCCAAAGGCAAAGGAGAAGGCATTAGGAAGCCACGCCTTGGCTGAATTATAAAAGGGAAGGTGTGGGAGGTGCTGGTTGCCAAAGGCAACCGTTTGTGTCGATGATCGAGTTTTTGTGAACTGTGTTTCTTTGCCTTGGACATGGACTCAGGTCTGTGAATAATAAAAGGGGTTGGTTTTTCCTTGCGGTTCCAGCCGGCTGGTTTGGAAGAGGGGTTTCTCCTTGTGAGCCTAACAAGGACTCACGTAGGCTGGGACAAAACAGAAACCTCAGAAGAGTAACCTCTGATCCGGGTGACCGACCCAGATTGGATGCTGCAATATTATCCTGGGACACGTCTATTCGCCTTCGTTCATAAGGTACAAACTGTCCTTGTGTCCTTGCTTAAAATCATCCTCTTCCACGGATATTGCCAAGGTCTAAACCAGTGATTCTCAACCTGTGGGTCGGGACCCCATTTGGGGTCGAACGACCATTTCACGGGGGTCGCCAAACAACGCAGTCTGCCATTTCCCCCCCCCCTTTTCCTTAGCTGTGCTACTCCCTTTTATTCTATTGGCTTTTGAAAGCCAATAGAACAGACTCTCTTGAATAGAGTCTAACTGTATTGGCTTTCCAAAGCCAATAGGAATTGTCCAGGCTGTCTCTGCCCTGCTGAGCCCGCCAAAAGTCCCATTCTGCAAACGGTGCTGCACCAGTTGAGTGGTCCTCGACTTACGACCGGTTGAGTAGTCCTCGACTTACGACCGGTTGGGGGTCGTGGCATTAAAAAGGTTGAGAACCACTGTTCTAATACTTTATAGTTTCTTCTGGATTGTTCTCTTAACGGAGTCTGTCGCTGGCCACCTTCCCACCCCAATAGCTCTTCTGGAGACAAGAAACCTCAGCAGGTGTCTGATGATACAACTGTTTGGAGTTTAGCATCCAAAAGGGTGAACGTAGACAGTTGTGACTCTCAAAGCAATGTAATCACAAGCAGTCATCACGATAGATTAATTAAACCTTGGGTTAATTGTCTCTCAAAAAAAAATAAGTAGATGGCGCTTGAGTTTAGACCAGTGGTTCTCAACCTTTTTAATGCCGCGACCCCCAACCGGTCGTAAGTCGAGGACTACTCAACCGGTCGTAAGTCGGGGACTACTCAACCGGTCGTAAGTCGGGGACTACTCAACCGGCCGTAAGTCGAGGACTACTCAACTGGTGCAGCACCGTTTGCAGAATGGGACTTTTGGCAGGCTCAGCAGGGCAGAGACAGCCTGGACAATTCCTATTGCTTTTGAAAGCCAATAGAATTAGACTCTATTCAAGAGAGTCTATTCTATTGGCTTTCAAAAGCCAATAGAATAAAAGGGAGTAGCACAGCTAAGGAAAAGGGGGAAACAATGGCGGACTGCGTTGTTTGGCGACCCCCGTGAAATGGTCGTTCGACCCCAAATGGGGTCCCGACCCACAGGTTGAGAACCGCTGCATTAGAAGCTAGTTCATTCCATTAGATGGCCAGCCAGAAGAGAAAGATTTTCAATGCCACAGCATGAGTCTCTTGGCCCTGAGAGATTGACAGGTCACAAAAGGGAAAGAAAGGATGTTTGGGAGTCACAGAAAGAGCTAAGAGAAGATAGGCAGGTATAATCAGAACTGCCTTTCTTCAAACGAAGGTCACGCTTTATCAAAGTTTGCCTCACATTTCTGATTTTTTTTTTCAGCCTTTCTATTCCTATCATAAGACATGAATGGCTGTAGAGATGTTCTTCACATACGTACAGCAGTGGCCAAAATTGTGGAAACCTTTTGGGAAAAGTGTACAGTGGAAATGCCACCGTTGGCTAAGTTTCCACCCATTTTTTCTTCTTATTTTTTTATAACTGTAGCCTGGTTCACGTAATAACACTATTTTACGTCACTTTCTGGGCGACCGGTCAACTCTTTGCACCGTGACTTTAATTTTATTATGTTTTACAAGCTCACTCAGTGAAAGAACACAAGAAAACCCAATCAATTTGATAGCGATCCCATAACACACTGACCAATGTCCTCCTCTCAGCTTCAATACGTGACACCAAAAACTGGATCCTACTGTGATCTGATTGGCTCATGGCCAAAACAAGATGACACCAGATTGGCTCTCTAAACACTCATGCTCATTGGTTACAATCAAGTGAAGGAAAGCTAATTGAGATCAACCTGAGCAAGTTTTGCTTCCTTTTTCTGGTTATTTGGCTATCACTTTTCATAGACTACAATACAGAAAATTGAACAAACTTTGCTGCATTACATTCTTTTTTTTTAATAAAAAAATTTTATTTTCCATTTATTCAATATACAAAATACAATTTACAAGATAAGATAAATTCATAACCATTGGTGCCGCTTACCCATTCCCGCCAGGCTGCGTCCACCCTCTCTAGTACCTTCCCTACTTCCCTCCTTTTTCTCTCCTCCCCTTCTCCTCTTACCATCCTACTTCCTCCCTACACCTTCCTCGCTGCATTACATTCTTGATTAAATTATCTTTCCACTGATACATAATTTTATGGTACTACTCCAAAAGAAAGTGGTGTTATTAGCCACCCAACCTCAAACATAACACTTTTCCCAAAAGGTTTCCACAATTTTGGCCACTACTGTAGGTATCTCCTGCATATTTTAACGTCCATGGAATAGAACAGTGAACTGAGAACACACACCATTTGATGAACTGCTAATTACACCTGAAGCCATCACTTGATTATTCACCCCAAGTTCTTTCAAAGCTAGCAACAGTATCACATAAAGGAATGTGAGTCAAAATGCTTTGCTCCACTCACACACACACACATACCTGGCTTTGGTAAGATCGTTTTTCTTCAGCCTCTTCTGACGATTTCTTAAAGCCTGGTGGTAAAGCTGGACCTATAATAGGTCTCAAGAATAGAATTAGATTTTAATAACATTCCCCTATGCAGCAGCATATAAAGAATGGCTACCGAGTAAATTTTTTTTTTTTTTTTTTACTCTGCAGCTATTTTTGTTGGGTATAACTATTGATTGTGATACAAAGGAGGCTATATTGATGTTAAATTTGATCACAGCCGCAAGGCTGTTAGTAGGACAATATTGGAAGAAGGAATCCTTGCCTACACTGCAGGAATGGTTTTCCAAAGTGTCTTATCTGGCGGAAATGGCAAAGATTTCGGCTTTTTTAAAGGATCAAACGCAAGAGAAATTTCTTGCTGTTTGGGATAAATGGATAGAATTTATACAATTTAAATTGGATATAAAAAAATATCATGTTACCTTTTTATAATTTTTATATATATATATATATATATATATATATATATATATATATATATATATATATTTCTTAGTTTTAAATTTCTTTTTCCTTTTTACATATATATGTTTTTAATGTCCTTTTTAACTTACAAGCCTAATATTCTGCTTACTCCTTGTCTTCAGGTGGGGGGAAGAAGGGGAGGCTGGCTTTCTTGGAGTCATAAATGGGAGAAGGGGAAGTTCATGTTTGAAGTTTTCTTTGGCTGTATCATCCTCTTTCTTGGAGGCTGGCTGAATTCTTTGAAGAATGTTGGAAGATTTCTTCTTCCTGTTTTGATTCGTTGCTTCGTCTCTCTGATAAAATGGTTGAAATACAAACAGCAGCTTGCTTACCTCTCAGACAAAAATCCAACAGCCGGAACTTTTTACGCAGGGCGTCTTCAAGGAAAGTACCTTCAGGTTGTGCTAACGGTCAAATGAACAGCTGAGAGAGGAACTGAAGGGAAAGTTGAGGTGCAGCCGTTTGGCAAAACCAGGAGGGCCGAGCTGGGCAAAGGTTGGGAGAACAACCAAAGGCATCCTGGTTTGGGGCTAGGGGAACTTCAGTCATAGCAGGTTGAGTCAGAATCCTGAAGAAGAAACTTTGAGCGGGAAGTTATAGAAAGAGAAAACAGTCTCGCCTCTCCTCCCAATTCTTTTCGTGAACCTGCTCTACCAAAAGCCTGTGTGAATTCAACCGTCTTTGTCTACGATAACAGCTTGTGCTTTGTACAATTTTTTAATTTTTTTTTATAAGGAACGGTTGCTGGAATTGGGAATGTCTAGTTTAAGGAAGAGAAGGACGAGGGGGGACAAGATAGCAGTGTTTATTTATTTATTTATTTATTTATTTATTTATTTATGAGACTTATATACCGCTTTAAGTGCAAGCACTCTCTAAGCGGTGTACACCAGTAAGCAATGTATATATATATTTACATTGCCCCCAACAATCTGGGTCCTCATTTTACCTACCCCGGAAGGATGGAAGGCTGAGTCAACCTTGAGCCGGTGAGATTTGAACCGCTGACCTGCTGAACACAGTCAGCTAAAGTGGCCTGCAGTACTGCACTCTAACTGCTGCGCCAGCTCAGCTCCAGTATCTCAGGGGCTGCCCCAAAGAAGAGGGAGTCAAGCTCTTCTCAGAGCCCCTGAAGGCAGGACAAGAAACAACAGGTGGAAACTCATCAAGGAGAGAAGCAACCTAGAACTGATGATAAACTTCCTGACAGTTAGAACAATTAACCAGTGGAACAACCTGCCTCCAGAAGTGGTGAATGCTCCAACACTGGATGTTTTTAAGAAGAGACTGGACAGCCATTTGTCCGAAATGGTGTAGGATTTCCTGCCTGAGCAGGGGGTTGGACTCAATGACCTCCAAGGTCCCTTCCAACTTTATTTTATATTATTATTATTATTATTATTATTATTATTATTATTATTATTATTATTACTACTACTACTACTACTACTACTACTACTACTACTACTACTATTATTATTATTATTATTATTATTATTATTATTATTATTATTATATCAGTTCTATTCCCAAGTGGGATAAAATTACTTGCTGGCCACTGAACATTCAGTAGGGAGGGATTCTGAGCAATAAAAGCCCTGATCCAAGCTTGTTCATTTAGGCCTTTTATGGTTAAGCATACAGCAGCGTTACAGGCACGAGTCACTTGGTAAAAAAAAAAATATGAAGGGCAAGCAACATTTCTTATAAGTCTAAATGATTCCAGCTCCTGTCATTTAATCACCGTCGTGTATCTATTCCTTATTCATGCTTGCATCATTACACTCTGGCTAGAGTTGATCCATATCCCTTGGGATGGATAGCATCAGATAATTATTGTCCTGGATGCCTTTTTTTATATATTTGTATGCCTGGGAAGATGTCATGTCTCTCTGTTCAGGAAGAATCTTTGAGAGAAGCCTGTTTGGAGTCGTCAACTGAGACAAGCTCCTGTTCTGAAAGTTCTGCCTCCTTGCTGTGAGAACATTTATTTATTTATTTGACTTATATACTGCTTTAAGTGCAAGCACTCTCTAAGCGGTGTACACCAGTGAGCAATGTATGTATGTATGTATGTATGTATGTATGTATGTATGTATGTGTATGTGTATATATATATATATATATATATGTAGGTCTTTGGTTGTTCGGGTTTTCTCCCGCGTAAAATTGCAAGTGTCTTGGCGACGTTTCGACGAAGTCCCATTCGAAGCATGAAGCTGAAAACACCAGCCTGAAGATGACGAATGGGACTTCGTCGAAACGTCGCCAAGACACTTGCAATTTTACGCGGGAGAAAACCCGAACAACCAAAGACCTACATACAAACACCTGCGAAAACCTCAGAAAACATATATAATATATATATTTACATTGCCCCCAACAATCTGGGTCCTCATTTTACCTACCCCAGAAGGATGGAAGGCTGAGTCAACCTTGAGCCGGTGAGATTTGAACTGCTGACCTGCTGAACACAGTCAGCTAAAGTGGCCTGCAGTACTGCACTCTAATTGCTGCGCCACCTCGGCACATTATTTACAACATGCTCACTGGCAGTTTGTATTTGGCTCATTCTGCACAATAATCCAGAAGCATCTACTTCACATTCCATCCGATTGCTTTCCCAACTTTAACATCGGTCGCCAGATGTTATGTGTCAGGTAGATGTGTTTGTGGGAGTGTTTTTCTTCTCCCAACAGATTTCATGCCCTTGCTGGAAGAAAAAAACAAACGAAAGCACCCTAATTTTCATGTTTCTGTTTGAGAAAGAGACAGGCCAATAAAGAAGAGGCTGCATGTGGGAACAGGTGCCATAATTGTGCAAAGTTTATAAGTGTTAGTGGGTCCCCCTAAGGCAGGGGTAGGCAACCTTGGCTCTTTTATGACTCGTGGACTTCAACTCCCAGAATTCCTTAGCCAGCCTGGCTCAGCTTGGAAACCTCTCCCTTTCCTCTCAGCATGGCTGGCTCAGGAATTCTGGGAGTTGAAGTCCACCAGTCATAAAAGAGCCAAGGTGGCCTACTCCTGCCCCAAGGCATATTGGCATCAGGAGCAATAGAACACAAAACCTAGCTATCACTCACATCCTGACATCAACTGCCCCTTAAAACAATTCCTACTTTCAAGCCGATTAACTAACCTTGGAACTGGACTTGAATCTTTATCCTCTTCAGAATCCAAATCTGCTTCTTTGGGCATCTGAGCAGAGACATATTTCTCCCCATTATCAAAGTATTTAGAGTTTTCCTCGTAGTCAGGAGGCAGTGCCGGTCCTGCAACTAAACATTTTTGTATCACAATATATTTCACGTGAATATTGCTTTCTTTGTTTTTGAATTAACTTATTCAACTATTTGTTTTTTTAGGAAATAAGAATAAGATTAGGTACTCTGTTTTAAGTCAGCACTGATCTATAATCTACTCTTATCTTTGGCTAACCGATTTGTTAAAGTACAATTTAAGGTACCATAATTTGGGGGGGGGTTGCTTTTTTTTGGTACAATAGATTGACATAGACTCCTAAAAATTAATAATTAATCAAATGCAGCTAAAGATATGGGGTTAAAAAAAAAGTCAAATTTGCACTCGACACATATTTGTTGTCTGCTATTTGTTTCTAGGACATTGTGTTGAGAAAGTGAAATTACACTGCAGTTGCATTTAGTTATTTCTTGCCTTTGATTGTTTCCAAAGTTCTAATAAAAAAATATTTTTTCCCAGATATCAAAAGTGTTAGTTTTGTACCTGATCCCTCAAAACTGAGTTGAGTGCCTATTTGGTATAACGATTAGGGTGCTGACCTACAAACTAGGAGGCAGTTTGTTCTAATCCCCTCTTAGGTATACAAACCAGCTGACTGGCTTTGGGGATCCCCCTCTCTAAGCCTAGCCTACCTCACAGGGTTGTTGTGAGGAGGAGGAAAGGAGAAGACTTTAACAGAAGAGACTTGACACTATTTCCCCCCCCCCTTTTTTTTTTTTCAGAGTAGCCTGGATTTCCTGATAATCTCCCACCCGGCCACTTGGGTGTAGTGGTGAAAATGTTAGGCCTTAAAACCAGGAGACTGGGAGTTCTAGTCCCGCCTGGGCCATCAAAGCCAGCTGGGTGACTTTGGGTCAATCATCAGGAGACTGTGAGTTCTAGTCCCGCCTTAACCATGAAAGCCAGCTGGGTGACTTTGGACCAATCACCAGGAGACAGGGAGTTCTAGTCCCGCCTTAGCCATGAAAGCCAGCTGGGTGACTTTGGACCAATCACCAGGAGACAGGGAGTTCTAGTCCCGCCTTAGGCATGAAGGAAATAAAAGTTATTCTTTTATAAAATTGTAGAAAAATAATTGTAGAAATGTAATGCCAATATATGAAACTGTCTCTTTAGTACAGATGTAACACTGTAACACAAATGTAGCAATACACTGCCAAATGTGTGAGAAGGTTTATTCAATGTTTACTGCCTAAAATTCCTCCAGACACAGGAACTTACATTTTGAGTAGAAATCACTATCAAAGAGGGGGATTTTGACCCAAAGTGAGAATTACAAATAAACAAGATAACAGCAGATGGACGGAAGAGGTCAGGTTAACAAAGTACAACTTCAGAGTACATCCATAAAGACGAAAGAGCTGTTTAGATGTGACATGCATTGTAGGGGTTATAAAATGCAGATCTTGAAACCAGGTCAGTGTGCTCCTGGAATCCAATCCATAGGGAAGGATCCAGGAGGCCGTGTTCGCAAACGCTCCTCTCTTCTATTCTTTCTCTTTTCTCTTTTATTCTGTTTCTGTTATTCTCCAATAAACCTTTGTTTTGTTAACCAGACTTGTCTTCGTATTGTGAGTATCAAAATTTGGGGTTTTTACATCTCACAGGCATGAAAGCCAGTTGGGTGACTTTGGGCCAATCACCAGGAGACTGTGAGTTCTAGTCCCGCCTTAGCCATGAAAGCCAGCTGGGTGACTTTGGGCCAATCACCAGGAGATTGTGAGTTCTAGTCCCGCCTTAGGCATGAAAAGCAGCTGGGTGTCTTTGGGCCAATCACCAGGAGACTGTGAGTTCTAGTCCCGCCTTAGCCATGAAAGCCAGCTGGGTGACTTTGAGCCTGACCCTCTCTCTTAGTGCGTCCCACCTCACTGGGTTGTTGTGGTGGGGAAAAGAAGCAAAGGGACCATTAGATGTGCTTGCCTTGAATTACATCTAAAGCAACCCAAGCCTCTCATAAGCTACTAAGGCCAGCTGGCCTGGCTCGTATTGTTGGCACCAGCCAAGGGGAGCCACGAGCTGCCCAAGGAGGGCGTTTATTTCCCTTTACCCTCCGCCCCCTTCCCTCCCAGATTAGCTCAGCCGGGCTCCTTCTCCCTCCGGAGCGGGGGACTCCTCCTTCTTCTTACCCGACCCGGAGTCGACCGCGGCGCCGGTGGCAACGGCTAAATTCGGGGGCAACGCCGGCCCGATAAGATCTCGGGACGCCATGATGCTAACGAGCGCCCTGCCGCGCCTGCGCAGTACGCTCCCCGCGCGCCCTTCCGGCCTGTGTAGAGGCGACTTCCGGCGCTTTCCGGGGAATGTCGCGATTGGAGCGCCGGAAGTGACGCCCTCGCCGGGGCGACGCGCGCGCCGGAGCGTCGCACGTGCGGCCCAGCCGAGCGATGGATCTCTGGTATCCTCCGCCCGCTCCGCCGCCGCCGCCGCCGCCTCCCTTTCCAGCCTGGGGCGCTGCCGGGCACTGGATGCCGGGACCGCCCGGGCCCTGGCACTGGGCCTCGCCGCCGCCGCCTCCGCCCCCACGCCCAGGTCGGTTCCAGCCTCGGGAGAGCCGCTGGCCGCTCAGCTAGGCCGGCCTACCTCGCAGGGTTGTTGTTGTTGCAGCGGAGGGAAATTAGGGGAAGCCGCCCAAAGGGAGCCTGCATCCACACACAGAGTCTTGCTATTAATAACTGTAGCAATAGTTATAATTGTTGTTGTTGATGGGCTTTTTTTATCCCATCTCCCCTCTCTAGATATTCTGCTCCCTCCCTGGGATTGTACTGTGATTGTGTGTGTGTGTGTGTGTATGTATATATGTATATGTATATAATATGTATGTGTACATATATGTGTGTATATATATACATACATGCATACATACATACATACATATATATATATATATATATATATATATATATATAATCTTCAAAATTTTGTGGCTGACAAAGTGTTAAAGGGACAGACTGATTTATATTTGGTAGACCGGGTGCTTCACCCAACAGGTAAGATAGATAGATATATAGATATAGATAGATAGATAGATAGATAGATATATCTTTTAGTTATAGCCTGCATTTTTACTGTGATTTTACTCACACACCAATAGCAAATTCCCATCTCTACATTCTGCTCCCCATCTTTTAGTTATATAGCCTGTATTTTTACTGTATTTATGTGGTTGTGTGTGCGTGTGTGTGTACACCCCCCCACACACACACCATATATACCCACACACCAATAGCAAATTCCCATCTCCTCTACATTCTGCTCCCCATCTTTTAGTTATATCCTGTATTTTTAATGTGGTTTTGTGTGTGTGGTGTGTGTGTACACCCCCCCACACACACATCATATATACCCACACACCAATAGCAAATTCCCATCTGCTCTACGTTCTGCTCCTCATCTTTTAGTTATAGCCTGTATTTTTATTGTATTTAATGTGTGTGTGCATGTGTACACACCACACACACCATATATACCCACACACCAATAGCAAATTCCCATCTCCTCTACATTCTGCTCCCCATCTTTCAGTTATACCCTGTATTTTTACTGTATTTAATGTGGTTTGTGTGTGTGTACACCCCCCCTCACACACCATATATACCCACACACCAATAGCAAACTCTCATCTCCTCTTCTACATTCTGCTCCCCATCTTTTAGTTATACCCTGTATTTTTACTGTGATTTAATGTGGTTATATTTGTGTGTGTGTATAGTTAAATATGTGTTTTTTATTGCTTTCATTGTTGTAAGCTGCTCAGAGTCCCTTGGCAGCCAGATGAGCAGCAAACAATTTTCAATACATCCTTTATGAGAAGATTGGGTTTATGCTGGGGGTTCACGGTGCTTTCCTTTCCTGAATAGAGCTGCATTTAGATTTCTATTTTATTTCCGTTTATTTATTTTGTAACGCTTAATTCTGGATTCTGATTGAAGGCAGGCATCATCATTTTGGTGAAGACTGGCAGGTGAAACCAACTGGACTGCTACAAGCTGAAGCGTGTCAAGGCAGGAAGCAGAAACAGAAGGTATTGCAAATTAGGAGTAAATTGTAGGGTGCCACTTTTGTTTGTATTTCTGATTTCAACAAAAGGGACAGAGACGTTTTCATAAGCACGCAGTAGACAGAAAGAGCTGGATTGGTGCAGTGGTTAGAATGCAGCATTGCAGGCTAATTCTGCTGACTGCCAGCAGTTCGATCCTGACCAGCTCAAGGCTGACTTGGCCTCCCATCTTTGCAAGATCGCTAAAATGGGAACCCAGATTGTTGGGGGCAATGTGCTGACTATGTACACCGCTTAGAGAGGGCTGTAAAGCACTGCGAACCGGTATATGTCTTAAGTGCTATTACTGTTGAGCTCTTTCGTATTCTTACTATCCTTACATATTTATCCCACTTTTATAGTTGTTAGCATTGTGGACATAGGAACATACCGTGTGCGGTAAATGCTCTTTTGTTATGAAAACGAGAACTCGACTTCTCCCTTTGTAACTGCCGGGCTCCTTTCCCTGCTACTCCGGAAGAATAAAAATCATGCAATAGTAATGGTGATTCAGTAGCCTAATTTAATTCTAATTGCACAAAAAGTACAGGACCTGGATGAAATAGATTTCTCTCCCAAGAGGAAATCAGTCAGAATCTAGGGCAGGGTCTTCAAACTTGGCCCTTTCATGACTTGTGGACTTCAACTCCCAGAATTCCTCAGCCAGGCACACATGCCTGGCTGAAGAATTCCGGGAGTTGAAGTCCACAAGTCATCAAAGGGCCACGTTTGAAGACCCCCTGATCTAGGAATTCACTGGAGTTGGTATTTTATTTATTTATTTATCGAATTCATTTGCTGCCCATCTTGTATCAAATGACTCTGGGCAGCTTCCAGCTTATTGGGCTCCTAATTGATGTAAAAAAGGTTTTAATTCATCAATTAATTGGATTAATTGATGAATTAATCCACCAGTGCAATGGAGAAGAATATTCAAGATTCACTTTTAAAACCACAAATATTAGCGGAGAAGTGCCAAGTATTAAATGTCACGGAGAAAGACAGCTGACTCCTGCGAACGACCCAGTAGCGAATTCCTTTTCCATTGTGATTCTTGGTGCACAGGTAACACCAAGAGTTTATTAAAGTGAAATCACCTTTATTCTTCCTCCTGGCTACAGAGATAGGCGTGGATAATCCCCGAAGTATAAATGAACCTCATTCTGTTTGTACATCTGGGACTGAACTATTTGTTGTTGTGTTTGGTTGTTTGGATAAGTCACCTATTCGTCACAAAAGGAACAAATGGCACTCATAACACACCCTTCGCTTTCCTTCAAGGATGGCTGCAATAAGACTGAAGTTTCTCTTTCTGCTTTGATTAACTGCAGATAAGCACTTTGTCCAAATGCTAAAGCGTGCCTGATTTTAACAATGGATTCTTTAAAACGAAGTAATTCCACAGGCCATGATTTGAAGTTGTTTTGTTTCGCTAAAACGGTTCAGATTGGGGGCACTTTTGTTATTTTAACAAGCAAAGCAGGAAAGGAAGCAAAGATGAGAGTCATTTTGGTCAATGGCAGGGGTGGGCAACCTTGGCTCTTTTATGACTCCTGGACTTCAACTCCCAGAATTCCTGAGCCAGCCATGCTGAGGGGAAAGGGAAAGGTTTCCAAGCTGAGCCATGCTGGCTCAGGAATTCTGGGAGTTGAAGTCCACGAGTCATGAGGGGGCCACAGTTCCCTCATGCTGGCTCAGGAATTCTGGAAGTTGAAGTCCACCAGTCATGCAGGGGCTAAAGTTTCCCCCATGCTGGCTCAGGAATTCTGGGAGTTGAAGTCCAGCAGTCACGAGGGGGCCATATTTCCCCCATGCTGGCTCAGGAATTCTGGGAGTTGAAGTCCACGAGTCATGAGGGGGCCACAGTTCCCTCATGCTGGCTCAGGAATTCTGGGAGTTGAAGTCCACCAGTCATGCAGGGGCCAAAGTTTCCCCCATGCTGGCTCAGGAATTCTGGGAGTTGAAGTCCAGCAGTCACGAGGGGGCCATAGTTCCCCCATGCTGGCTGAGGAATTCTGGGAGTTGAAGTCCACGAGTCATAAAAGAGCCAAGGTTACCTACCCCTGGACTAGTGGTTAAGGCGCCAGAGTAGAAAGTGGGAGACCAAGAGTTCTAGTCCCACTTTAGCCATGAAAGCCCGCTGGGTGACTTTGGATCAGTCCCTCCCTCTCATCCCAACCCACCTCACAGGGTTATTGTTGTGGGGAAAAGAGGAAGGAGAAGGTATATTGAATATATTTGTCACCTTGAGTTATTTGTAAAGATAATAAAGGCAGGATACAAACAAATAAATAAAATATTCTAGACGCTTATCATCTTGCTGAAGACATGTTAGCAGAGTGATCCTGGTCTCGTCTTGTCCACCTATTCTTGCAAAGGTTTGCTCTGATCCTTTTCACAGGTCCTGAAATTACTCATTCTTGGAATAAACCATGGTTGGTCGTAATGACCGAATGGCACCTTCGTAAGGTTATATTTAAAGGTTGATAACATTTGTTCAGACATCCTTTGGGAGGGGCATGTAATTGTTTTGCACTCGTTGTAAACCCCTTGGAACAGGGCCACTCCCACAACTCATCATGAATACCTCTTTTCTTTCTTTTTTATAGAACAAGAAGAGAAAGGAGCCGGTGTTTACCCATTATTGTGATACCTGCGATCGTGGCTTTAAAAACAAGGAGAAATATGAGGAACACATCTCTCAGCACAAGCAGGTGTGTTATAATGGCTGTGGGCAGCTATTGCACAAATGGAACAAATGATTGAGTGGAATAATCACAAAGTCTAACCTTTCAAAGCTGGTGTGGAAGCTTGAAACAGAAGCCTGTTTCACACACAAGCACCGGAAAGCAAGATTTTGGTTTGGCCCACCTTGGGTGATAATTTTCCATCCAGTTGGAAGAGAAGCCCCTTTTCCAGAAAGGACATTTGGTGTCCCAGCTAGACTTATTTTCTGTAGAGTTGCAACTATATTCTGCAGAATTCCAGCTGTAGATAGCAGAGATTAGTGAAGTGACCCACGCCTATGCAGTTTGAAAATTAAAATTTATTTCAGTCTTTCATGTCAAGATTCGGAATAATGATGATCACAGATTGCTCAGTTAAGCTAGAATTAAGCGGCAAACTTCCCTGGAATTAGAGCATAAATGCATTTTGAAACAAGAGGAGAATGAGTAGTGAGGAGGATGCAGAAGTAAAGGGAGAGGGGGAAAAGGAAGGAATCA